ACAGACAACCTCTCGTCAATATGCGTTTTTCGCACTGCATTGCTGCAAAAAACGCATAAAAAGCAGTTGTCCCCTTGCAGCTTTCTGTACAGAGATTGTAAAGTTGAGCAGAAACATGTTTATACAAATATGCACTCGAGCTTTTTATCATAATGACATCTTGATTTATGTAAACAGGCTGTAAACAGGTAAACAGACATTGGTCAACATACTTTTTCAGTTTCGAAATGTACCCCTCCTCCCACCCCCTCCCCCTTCCCGAGAAAAAAGCCTGGTTTTTTTCGTGCAAATTGTACTGAAATCGAATTTGTCTGGAACACTTTTTTTATTTTGCAGGACATTTAGCCAAACGAAAGAATAATGCCAGCAATTTTTTTTTAGAGCATTAAAGCAGCAAATCGCCTTCCTGCATCTCAATAATTTCTGGTGTAGGTTGACGCGACGGGAAGAATGGCGATGTTGCCGACATTGTAAGACCATAGTCGACGAGTTGCAGTGTGTTCAGCGATTTTACTGAGCAGCTTGATGATTCAGTATCCTTTGCGGTACATCTCTGCAATTCGCTTTACATATTTAGAAATTAGTGAAAATGCGAAAACGACAGTTCCAAGTATATAATGCTGGTTTTCGGCGTGTGTCTGTTCGAATCTTATCTAATCTACCACATCGAAAACGCGAGAGAACGACAATTAAGCTTAGAGGTGCTAAACGCAAAGCATCAAAGGACAACATATACGAGTAACCCCAAGCGGATGCTATCCAAGTTGAAGGTGTGAAATCGCCTGAGCAAGGAGGAAGAACAGGAAGGGGAGTGATTAATTGGAAGGGAGCAGCAGCAGGGCGTAAAATTTTTCCACATAGGTGGCAACATCAAAAGGGAGGTAATAAACTGAGCTGAAAAGTGGAAAATGCACTGAGGTTCTACCTTAGAATATAATACTTATTTCAGTCTTTTCCTGAATCGTTTTGTTTTAAAATTATCAAATTGTCTCGTATCAGAAACAGTTGGAGCGTATACAAATGGGTGTGTCACTATAGACAAAAAAAAATTTTATACTTTCCGCCTTTTCGGGATCGGAATCCAAGTGTAATCAGCAGATTGAAAAGGACACGTGAATGAATTCTTGTATGCGATTGAAAAAGCATTCAAGTGTATGTGTATGTATGTATCTGTGTAAGGGTATAAATAAATGCTTATTTGCGTTACTTATAGCACCCTACTAAAGTCAAATTAGTAGTCGTTGAAACATGGGAACTAAAACCTCGGCCTTTAGAAACGAAATCAGCCTTCCTGTTAGATACAGGTAAAAACTGAATATGAAATTAACGACTTAATCCATTAAATTCTCTCATTAACTTCTTATTCAGTTTCAAACTTGTT